TTAATATAGGCTTACTTGATTTTCAGGAAAGAATAAAATTTTGTATAACCTCTCTTGCCTATGATCTCTTAAATGCTGTAGGACAGGCTTTATTAAAGGATGTTTCCAATTTACTGATGATACCAAATGACGATGACATTGGTGGATGGCTTTAGGCCAGTCATCAAGATCCTAAGCCAGGCCCTAAAAATAGTCATGCTCTATTTTTATGATACCCTGTCCTTTAGCTCTTCTAAGGGCCCTATTTCTGAGTCATATGTTCCAGAATGATCTTTTTCTTTTCCTTTAATTTTCTTCTCTTCTGCTTCCATCCTTAGATGTTAAGGTTTAGTGATTTTTTTAAAAAAGAAAACTCTTCACAGAAAGGTGTAAAAAAACTCTTTTGAGACTTGGATTTTGAAAGAGAAGTTTGTTAACTCAAATCTCTGCTTGTAGAATTTCTGAAATTTCTTGCCATTTCCCTGTAATGTTCTTGCTCTTAGTAACTGTAATTGTGGTACGGCAGTTTGGAACTTCATTTTGAAAGGCTGATATAAATTTGAACAGTTCATGTATAAATCTCAAAAAGAAGAAGGAATTATGTTGGTCATGGTGATTATAACAATTACAACAATAACATTAATAGCAGCTACGCTTTTATTGATGAACTTTTTTCATGCTAGGAGCTCTCCTAAGCACTTGACATTGTTAGCCTTTTAAATCAACTTACTGAATATTATATTTGAAAAATGGAAATGTAAGAAATTAGGAAAAAGAATTTATAATACAGTAGTTTTTGATGGATAAAATGGCCCAAAGAGTGGATTTTGAGTGCTGGGTTTTGAGCTAGGTTACAGAAGATAGTTCTCTTCTTATTATTAAAATAAGGATTTCTAGCTCATGTATTTATTGTGAGAATACATAATAATTTCAAGATGTAAGCTGGGACTTAATTGGATAACTTTAGGTAAGGCTTCCTAAAAATTGTAAAAAGAAAAACTTTAAAATGTATCAACACTACAAAAAGCTTTGTCTTTTTATAGACAACTTTTTTTTTTGAAGTATTGTTGATACACAATCTTATATTGGTTTCAAGTATACAACACAGTGGTTCAACAGTTATCCATATTATTAAGTCCTCACCCACTCTATAGCTAACTTTTACTGGTAATTAGATGAAACTATTATGTGCCTTTAAAGGATTCTGTGAATCCAAAACTTTGTTTTTAATTAGTATAGTAGAAGATGATTGTAATTTGCTTGACATTTCATATGTTTTTCATAGTAAACTTTGGAAGCCTTTTGGACTTTTGAAAAATAACTTCCTTTTGGTTATGTTCTTGAGGTAGGATAATTCAGTTTATTGGGACTACTAAATACTATTAGGCTTCCGACAGAGAATGCACAAAACTGTGTCTACCATTAGAGGATTGTAATGTTTAGTTGCATTCTTTCCTAATAGACTCTCTCAGTTTCACTAGGCTTATTTAATGGCTTTTAAAAAGAGTTTTCTTGATCAAATAAGTTGAAAAATAACAATCGTTATTATTACTAATAACTTACTATGTACCCAGCACTAAGCTTGACATGTTTCATGTAGTATTTTTGTTTCTCTACTAATTAGCAAAATTCTCAAAGAGTTAGCAAAATTACTTCTCAAATATAAAGATATTTTTATTGTTAATACTGCTAAAAACCTGATTTAGAAAATTTTGTTTTGCACGTCTTTTCTAAAGAAATCATTGCTATCTCTCAAACAGAAAACTTATCATTCTACCAGAGTTGTCAGTTTCGCTATTTATAAGATTAAAAATATCCTAAGTACTGTGATTTTTTGTATTACTAATGCATTTTCAAATTTTGGTGTTCTTTTTCTTTAATTTTTCTTTTCCTATTTTAATCCAAGTCCCTATTTCTTTTAAATGTAGGGTTTCTGTTGATAGTTCTGATACTCTAATTTTTAAATCACTCAAATTTTTTTGGAATCAGTTTTTCATCTTATGGTTAAGGTGGCATTGTATTTTATAGGTTTATTCTATTTGTTAGCTTTTTGTAGTGATTAAAATTATTTTTCTTTATCCTAGAGCTGTTTATGTTTACATGGTTATGAATTTGTACTATAACTCTAATCAATACTTACTTCTTATTTATTCATTTTTTTCAGGAAGTTATGACCATTTTAAATGACCAGATTTTTGTTCTGCTTCCTTTAATCAATTTTCTGATTTAAAAAAATATTCTGTTAAGCTTTTACAGTTAAATTGTACGAAGAGCTCTCTGTAGGATGATAGTGCTAGGCATCTTCCTGAATTGCTCTACAGTTGTAACTCTTAATATGCTATGTAAGTAAGAGGAGCCATCAGCATTTACTCCTAATTTTTTGCAGAGATGAATAATCATCTTGAAATGCTGATTTAGACAATGTTTTAAAAATGCTATGATGCACTTTGGTGTCTGACTGACTCTTGCTTAGTTAAATGTTTTGCAGCATTATAACATAGTTGGATTCAGCTCATCTTTTAAAGCAGTTGTCAGAAAAATATGGGCCAGCATGGTAGAATGTATTAGCTCAATACATTGTCTCCATTTTATTATGAAGCTGCTGAGGAAGCTGTGATATACAGCACTGTCATTACAGATCTATTGTTAGGATGGTTCCACAGTCTTCTTTGCACTGCCATTAATTTATAGCAGTAAACAATATGTAGCCTTCCGACTGCAGCAAAGCAGAATCTTTTAATGAGGTGGATGTTATTACCACAATAAATCAGTGCTTTCGCGTAATGTATAATTCAATGTGTGTATTCCCACTGTAACTTCTCTGAGTAAGCTGATAGTGTATCATTGTCACCGCACAGCTCCACTGGCCTTTTTTTTTTAACCTTTTATTTGGGGACTTCTTTTTTTATATGCTTGCAAATAAATGTGGTATGTCTTGATAGCTGTCTGTAGCAGGCTTCAGAAACCAACTGTAACAATAACAGCCAGAATCAATACTGTGGGTTCTACCTGTATGGATCTCTGCATGATGCCATTTTTTTCCAGATGCTAGTGAAATCAATCCTAATTGGTTTTAGCATTATATTCAAGAAACGTGATTCTATAACTATTGATTTTGGGGGGTGTACTCATTTTGGAGACTAATAAAAATAGGAACAGTTAAAGTGAATACTTAATATGCTGCAGAACCATACAAAGGAGCATTGATTCTATTTTTAATTCACATAATTTATCTTCCAATGATTTTATTTCTTTTTTCTTTCTTTTGCATGGTTCAATCTTTAGGACTACTTTTAGAATACATTTATTGGCCTTACAAATTAGTTCTGTAACAAAGATTTCTTGGAGTCACTTCCATTCTTAGCTGGTATAAATTTAGTAAATCAGATTTAATTCTTTTATACAGAAACTAAAGAGATGGCATTTTAAATTAGTATACTATGATAATAACTAAACATTTTTTAAAATTTGCTTGTAAAGTAAAAAGTGGCATAAAATAAAATGTTGATTAGAACCCAAGCTATTGAAAGAGAAGAGTTCTAAACAAATAGCAGTTTGAAAAAATAGTTGATAATTTATGATAACCTAAAGGATGGATTTAAAATGTTGCTTAAAAATCACATATTAACATGAGATGTAATTTAAAAAGCAGTTTAAATTGCTTCATTTTCAGTAGAACATTTCTGAATATATTTTAAACCTGTTTTTTTATTTATTTCAGTTTAATATTTCTTCCATAACTAATCATATATTTTCCTTCTGTTATAAATGCAGAAGAAACTTATAAAAACTCATGGGTTTTCACTAAAGGAAGTAACTTTATATATACCTTTTTTTCGATGAATCGGTACTTATGTATTAAATAAAGAAGTAGAGATTTTTCTAAAGATCCAGAATGTTTTATGAGAACGAATTGTAACTTGAAGCAGTTGATCTTACTGTTCTTTGAGCCCTTAGACCCTTTGAAAATCTTAAGATCACTCTGTCTTCCTTAAGAAAATGTACCTGTGCATAAATAATCACACAGCATTCTGTATACTGTTTAATGGAGTTCATGTAATTATTAAATAACAAGAGCAGCAACAGGAATAATGATGCCAGCTAACATTTATTAAGCTTTCATCTTATGCAGGGCAAAGTTCTGGGGTCTTCACATGCTGTTTTTTTGTTGTTGTTCAAACTTTGTCCTAATTCTAAAAGGTAATCTTAGAAATAGTGGTTGACAATCTTAGAATGTTGTCAGCATGGTCCGTAGGACTTTACACACACTCCCCGATTTATTTTCCAAAACGTCCTTCTGTCTGGGTACTGTTACTATTCCAGTGAGCCCAGGTTTTCCACCACCTCACTATACTGCTTTTGGGGCCTCTGCTGTAATGTAACGTGATGTTCTCTAGTATAAGCTTGTAATCGTCTACTATTCTTTCATACCACTTTTTTTTTGTATTTCATGCAGGCATGTTTTTATCTAAATTCTGGCATTATGCTTGTAGGAATTTCTAGATTTACATCTAATCCCTTTTTCACACAATCTCTTCCTTGTACTTCTTACTCCCCCCAATTTTGTTCCATCCTCTTCTCTGAAGCTATTCACAATTTATCCTCTAACATCAAGATCCTGTTTCTGGTTGCTGTTTCTAATTAACTGAGTATGATTTTATATGTACTTTACAAATATTATATAGCTAATATTCACTTCATGTATTGTCTTTATGAAAATGTTTATTATGGGCTGATTGTAGGAGACCTATGTTCAATAGAAAATAGACTTACTGAGAAATGACAGGTTTCTCCTTCCACTTATGTATGTATGTATGTCTAACCTGCGTTAAAAAACAAATGTGTTTTTCCATCCACTCTGTGAATGTAGCACCGTTTTAGCTTAAATAGTATATATATATATATATATTCTTAAATTCACTTTCACACTTGCTAATAGGATAACATTTGAAGAGAGAAAGAGACAAAGGATGATTACAATTTATGTGTTCTTGCTTGTCTTTTTTCCTACCCATCGGCAGCCAATAGGAGCTTTGAATCCAAAAAGAGCAGCATTCTTTGCAGAGCGTTATGAATCATGGGAAGATGATCAAGTTCCAAAGTTCCACTATGGTACTCATTACTCAACTGCAAGTTTTGTTCTTGCATGGCTGCTAAGAATAGTAAGTACAGTTTGACTAATAAACCATGAATAAAAAAATTCAGTGTTGTGGAGAATATGCAGTGATTCAAAATTATCAGCATCTTTTCTGAATACTAAATTTTTTCCAGTGATTGAATTTCTAATTATAATTATTTCTATCCCATTTGCTATGTATTTTATAACATGTTACTGTAGAAGAGCCTTAAATTTGTTTCACCAGAAATTGTGTGAATTTTTTCTTTAAATTTGCCTCTTTAAGTGGTTGATAAATTACCTGATTATAAGCTGTAACAGGTTGTTTTCAAATGCAGTCTATTAAAATAAGGACCAAATAAGATTTCGTTACTACATATATACATTCATATGTTTTGGAAACTTAAGTTGCACCAAACAGAATAAGGTATGTTTGTAGATTACACCAAGGCTGCTGAGTATTGATAATATATTGTTTAAACAAGAAATGTTTCTGTAAAATTGAAAGGTGATTCATCTACTAGAAAGTAATTTCTTTGGGAAAGCATTAACGGCACATCATTAATTAAAGCTTGTTAGAAGGATATAGGCAGACATAAATCCTAGAAGTAATTTATAGTGCTTAGCTAATTTCAAGCAATTATCCACTAATATGTGTGTAAGTGTTCTTTAACTAAGAGGAGGCTTTTCAATCTTCCAAACATTTTTCTTTTCTTTATTATAAATTAAATATTGAGCCATAACAATAGGAAAATTACATATTGGACTATTTCCCTGTGCTATGAACAAAATTCAATCTAACTTATGTGTGAATATTATTAATAAATTGTTCCTGGAAAGGAAGAGAGTCTGAAAAATGTTGCAAATGCCAAATTTTGGAAATATAAGTTCTGAAACAAAAATAATATAAGAACACTAATGTAATAATTTAGGTATAATTCTCAGTCTATGCTTAGTACATATTATTGGTTAATGTCTATTGGTTTTTAAAATATTTAGATTTATAAAAAACATTTTTATGCATGAGGGAACATACAGATTTTTTTTAATTGCTTTGTTAAAGGAACCCTTCACAACTTACTTCCTAAATTTACAAGGAGGGAAATTTGATCATGCAGATCGAACTTTTTCATCAGTTTCCAGAGCTTGGCGAAACAGTCAGCGTGATACATCTGATATTAAGGTACAGAAATGTTTCATTTTACAGTTGTTATTGCTGATGTCTTCTGTGAATGAATGTTGACAGTTTCTCTCTTATAGTCCAGTGCTATTTTCTAAATCTAAGCCTTAAAGGCTGAAGCCTTCATTAAATAGCCAAGAATCACTGAATAGAATTTCTTCTGCCTATCTGTCTGTCTTCTCTCTCTCTCTTTAGTGGTGGAGTGGTTGGTTTTTCTCCTCCTCCTTGGAATCGTTCTTTAAAGGAAAAATATTATAGTTTGGGTGTAATGCAGCAAGCTCAATGGAATTCTAAACTAATGAATAAAATTAATATAGTCTGGACAATACTATAAGAAAAATATCAGCCTTTAATTTCATTTAGAGACCCCATGTCTTTATTCTTAAGGCATCTTTTACCTGCTACTGGTTCTCAGAGCATACCTGACTGTTTGGTATAGGACTGCGTTATTATTGAGGGGAAATAAGCCTTCTCCTCCTATCTATCTATATGTTCATCACTGTAAAAGGTCAGAACTTTTGCTTCTACCCTCAGAAGTACAATATTTTATTTTTATGATGTAATGTCTCTTTCTGCTAGGTACTGTTAGATGCTGTCTAATATAAAGAGATATACCTGTGGTTGTGAAGCTCCTTATAGTCTCATAAAGAAATATAACTTTTACATAAATAATTATACTATATGAGAGAAAATGATAAGTACCATATGAAAAATATTGTGGTTCAAAGAGGAAAAGTTGTATTTCTTATGTTGATGCCACTGTAGAATACCCTTTAAAATTCAATATGATAATTGAATAGGTCTGATACTTTATAGTATTAGGTCTGATACTTTATAGACTATAAAATATATTCACATATACTTTACTGTGGAGTATAGAATTGCTTTATATCAAAGATACTTTATTGAAGAAGATGACATCAAATGCAGAAATAATTTTTTATATTGAGACCTCTATAGGACTTTTTAATATTATAAGTAATATACTTTGAAATACTCTTGAAATTATGTCATACTCTTTAAGAATCATTAATAGCTAATTTTGAAATGTATAGTTAGGTTAACAATGAATCAAATAGTTAACAGACTTAATGTTGAATTCTATTTCTAATCTCAGCTATTTATTTAACTCTTGAGAAATATTAAGCTATGTAAACACAAGACTATATTGATAAGCCTGACTTTGTTATCAAATTAGACTTATGAATTATTTTGTAATTTGTAAATTTATTCATTTATTAAGTATCTCATGATCAAGTTACAACCTCAGAATTAAATCTGGTCCTAGATATTTAAATAAAAACAAAATCATGAATTTGAATATTATTTTTTCCTGCTCCATGATAGACAGTAGATGTCTTCAACTTTCTACCTTTAAATACTAAACAGCCTTGCTTAATGTTTTATTGGACAGGAGGTAAATATGATATGTAGATTTATTGTCTCTTTTTCCTAAATCTCATCCTTTTTCTCTCCAGAATCTTTCAATTAGCACATCTGATTCTATTTCCCAAACACTTCCCTTATAAAATAAAATGTTTAAAAAAAATTAAAGACCCATTCAAAGCAGCTACAATATTAAAAAACAAAAATACACATGAATTCTTCACCTTTTTCTCCTTACTTTTCTCATTACTATTGTTTCCTTACAAATAATAAGGATTCAAATCCATCTCACTTGCCTTTGAATGCCCCAGCAGACTTTAATAAAACAGCCACGACTATTTTACAAATACTAGAATTTCAGTTCTTCCTATTGTGCTACATAATTTCTGGCTTTCCAGCAGTGTTATATACAGCATCTATATGAAGAAGTAGACTAGAAAGTAAGGGAGAAGTTAAGAAATCCTTAAAATTACAGGTGACATGTTGATTGGATCCTGCTTACAAATACAGCTTTATTCTTAAATACCATTTCATTATGTTTAGAAATGTTCTTCACATCTAACTGCTAAAACTTGCTCTTCTAACCAATATGTATGTTCTTTTTTTTTAAACCACAAAATATCTGTAGGGGTGGTAGAACATTAAGAAACTACTCCCGTTTTCTATATTGATAACCAGTTAATTGGGGACCTACAACTTTTCAAATATTTTGGAAAGTTTGTAGCACATGGTTACATATACTATTTTAAAAGATTGCTTGTAATTGGTCCCTCTAAATCTGAGAAGAGATTAATCATGCCTTTAGAAAAATTTTTTTTTTGATCCTGACTCTTTGTTACATTTTAACACTTTAGTAAGCATATTTGAATGATTAACATAATGTATTGGAAAGCACATTTAAATTACTACAGTAGTATAAACATTTCATTGAGATGTAATAGTGTCTTTCAAATGGAACCATATTAATTATAGTCTGATCTTTCTTTGTATTGTCTTGTTGGATTTTCTAGAAATACTAAGGAAAATGTTAAACAGTAGAGGGGATAGTGGAATGTGAGGGGGTGTGGTAGCAACCACTGTAATGCGTGGATTCTAAAGCATACCTTGTTTGATTAACATAATATACATTCTCTAAAATGTTTCATGGCATTTTGCAAAAATAAAATGTTGTGAGGCAGGTAGAAATTTGTTAATTTTTTACAGGAGAAAGAATAACAGGATAACATTTCTAGTACTTAACTCTTTTTTGCTGAAGAGGGACTGTCACTTTAATATCTTAGAAACTATTTCTTGCATTCTGCTAAAACTCAGAGTAATTTTACTAAAAGATAAAGGTTATTCCTATAAAAGTTAAAATTATGAATTGTTTTTATTTCAGAGAAGAAAGAGACCTCATTAGATTTTACTAAAGCAATCTTCACCCTTACCAGCGTTTACCATTGTAACGTGTGGGGGATTATGTGTGTTTCTGTCCACCACTGGTGGTTCCATTTCACATCTAACCCTCAAGAATGCTTTTTATTCTACCTACATAAACAGTTCACATGTGTCGATCAGCTCTCTAAATAGGCTTACCACTGTCCATCCAATATAAATGTAATGCAAAACCCAGTTGCAAGCCATCTAATTTAAAATTTTCTCATATACACATTTTAAAAAGTCAGAAGAGTCCTGTAAAATTAATAGTATGTTTAACCGGATATATCCAGAATATTATTTCAACCTGTAATCAGTGTAAAATGATTAATTAGATATGTTTCTAAGTCTTTGAGGTCAGGTAGGTACTTTACATCTACAACACACCTCTATTCAGACTAGCCACATTTCAAGTGTTCAGTAGCCACTTGCGACTGGTGGCTCTATCAGGCAAAGCAGACTCAGGGCATTGTTTTGTAATCACCCCAAGGGATAGCTTTCTGCTTATGGGAAGAAGAATGCTTTCACCCTCTTTGAGCAACAGTGTTCCTGATATTGTACTTCATCTAAATATGAACTGACAAGTAGTAACAATAATAGGTAACTTGAGGACTGAAATAGAAAGTGCTAAAGGGTTGGAAAATCAGCACTGTAATAAGTAATATTTTAAAAGTCCCCAGAATATTCTGTGTTTCAGGTCTTAAAAACTAAGTTAAGTTTAGTAACTAAGGTAGAGAATTGATTACTGCCTTTATGACCAAATTTTTTGAAACAAATCATAGACTCATAAAGTTGGAATGAGTTTCACTAGGCAATCTAACTATTAGGCAAACATATAAGCTTTTCTAGGCAGTTCATTATCACTGATTTTCCCCCACTCTCTTGGGGCACTCATTTTGGGTACCCTTAGTGTCAATAAATTCAATCTAACAATTCAGTACAATATGACTTGCTCAGTTTAAACCCTTTTACTTCTTTCCTATAGAAATGTTAACAATCTGGATTTGGAAAGTGGAAAGAGTCATAAATGTTACCTAGGCTCATTATTCTAGAATGGAGGCAGTAGTAAATGGGTCTAAGTGGAGATTATTAGAGAATATACTTCTCCAGAAGCTTTCTCCAGAAGCTCAGGATTTAGTACAATAATATATTTCTAAAATAACATGTGCTAAAAGTAAAACTCGAGTAAAAAGTTGGATGGAATCCTGAGGTAACATTTACTTTTAAACTTTGTTTTTATGCACTATCAGGCCCTGGTTGTGATGCAGCACCAAATGAGACACAGGTATTGCCTCCTTGAATTTTTGCCTTAGAGGGGATACTGACAATAAAACAATCTGAGCCACATATAATAAAGCCTCTGTGGACTCACAGATACAGCATCTGAAATGAAGACAAGGGAATCTCAGGGCCTGTCGTGAGGGGTTTTCCTGGCTTTGGTACGGAGGTTGTACTGTATTCTGGGGCAGTGTGGAGACACTGATAGGGGTGAAGCAGTGGAATGACATGAACAGACTTTGTAGTTTTAAGAGATCATGTGGTTGGTGTTTAAATGTGCATTAAACCATGAGCAAGAGGGGAAGCAGTCAGTAAGCTGTTAAAGTAATTAAGCAAGAGGCAGCAGAGGCTTAAACTCAGCAGTGGCAATGATATTAGAGAAATGTGGATGAATTTAAGACTTATTTAGAAGGTGAGAACTGTTGGGATTTGGTGATTGATTTGCCTTAGAAGGTGAGAGAGAAAGATATAAATTTGACTTAGGCATGTGTATAGAGAACACGGAAGATGATCAGGTTTAGTTAGGACAGAAAACTTCCTTCAGGCAGAAAACTTCCTATGACCAGTGAATTAAAATCCCCAAAACACACTGAGTAAAACCATCACTTATTGATTATTTATCATATTCAGTACATAGTAAACTCCAGTACATGTGGAGTTAAAAAGGTAAGGTAAACATTGTTCTTTTTAGTTCACAGACTTCCATAAGAGAAAGACAGGTAAATTATAACTATTTTTAATACAGGTTAGACAGTGATGAGTGGTATAAGCCATAACAAAATGAATTTAATTCTGACTGAGGAAGTGGATTGTAAATAGCTTCATAGACTGACATTTGAGTTGTATCTTAAAGGATGCAAGGGAGTCTTAACAAACTTCCCAAACTCGTCTATAGCTTGTACAGTTCTCCTGATCTCTTTCTC